TTTACAAGCTAAACTTACAAGTAGTAACCGGCACTTGATGCTTATTAAAGAACGTTGTGGTGTTGGCAAATCAAATAAGATAGCAGAAGAAATAAGAACTCTTTGTCATTCTGATGAATCTTCCGTTTCAACTCTCATCATATTTGGTCGGCGTTCTCTTGCTCATGGGCAAAAAGTTATTTTCGAAGGATTTAAGTCTTACCTCGAGCTAGATGCAAAAAAACTTAATCCTAAAGATACTCCTAAACTCATTATCAGTCCAGAAAGCATTCACAAACTTGAACAACTGGCTATGATGTGATTATACTGGATGAGTTTGAAACAATCACTCAAAATTTTAGTGGATCTACTATGAAAAAACCAAAGCTAAGTCATGATGTATATAAATCCTTGCTTCAATCTGCATTATTAATATTGGCTTTAGATGCTACATTAGATTCAGACTCACTTGTACATTTACAAAACATTTCGAAAATAGATACCGAAAATTCAACCATGATATGGAACCAGCATATACGAGATAAACATCATGTTCTTATATATATTAATACCAAAAAATAGAATGTTGAATTAATTGGAGCTCTGAGACAAGAATTAAAAGTCTATATTCCAATGTTTGCTAGTGCGGAAATGGCAGAGGCTCTTCATAAAGAATTAGAATCTCAAGAATATTAAGGCAAGTGTTTTTCCAAACAACTATCAGAAACTGAGAAAAAAAAAATATTTGCCAATATCAATAATGCAGTGGCAAGTCTTGACTATTTGATAGCAACTCCTGTGATGACTTGTGGAGTAAATATAACAGTCAAAAACTTTGATATGATATTTGTATACTTCCGCATATTAGCTGGTCTGATGAGCAATGAAGCATATCAGATGTTGTACCACATTCGAAAGCTAAATCAAAATATAGTACATATTCTAACAGATTTATGTAGCGATAATTTGCTAACAGACTATAAGGATTTACTTCATTTTATCAGCTATCGATGTAATATCCTGATCTAGAAGAGGCTCATTGTGATAAGATACTTACTCCGGATAGCAGATGGATTTTTAAGCCAAATGCTTCTTTGGAAACTCATCTTTATAATGCATCTCGTCGCAATGCATCTAGAAATGATTTTGTTAGTTTACTGACTGATCATCTTAGCGAATATGGTTATAATATTAATATTGCCAAAGACTGCCCTTCTATCGACTCAAAACTTACAGAAAATAATGAAGGCAAAGAATTACTTTTACAGGTACATTCAATCAAAAAAACTCTAGATACAGAAAAATATTCAATGATCACTAATGCTCAGGTTTTGAGTGATATAGAAGCTTTGGATATTCGAGAATGTTTAGAAAAAGAAGAGGATATAGACCTAGCCTATAGACTTGCTTTGCAGAAATACAATCTCGCATCTTTTTATAGAAAGACCCTGAAGATATAACTGAAGATTTTGTAGAAAAATATTCCAAAAAGAGATGCGAAATGCGTATAGTACATTAGTTCAAGCTGTGAACCCTCTTGATGACTTGCGTGAGAATTATAGATTTATAGTTATTGAAGACTCACGAGAGAAGGCTTCTTGCGATTCATTATTACCAAAAGTTATTGCTTTAGAGGAGATTTTATAAAGGATAGATTTTTCTTCAGGTATTCATATATCTTATACTTTATCATATCAAGATTTTGATACTAATTTACCAAACTTCCTACCAATTTATAAGAAAAATGAGCATCATTACTATGCAATATTTGGGAAAAAATAGAGACCACACGCTAACTATAATATAAAGTATTTTATGGAATTTCTTCTTAAACTACTAAAAGAATTTAAAGTATCATTTTACTGAGAAAAAGATCATAGAAATCAACTTACATACTTAAAACTTAAAATAGATAGAAATCTAAAAATGATTTTTCCCGATACTTGTTTAAGCAATAATGTAATC